CCAAACAGAATTTGCAAGTTTCATCTAATACACCGCACACCTTTACAACTGGAACGAGACAATAGATATATTCACAACTTCTATCTACCCGAACCTTAACATTTTATATGTGCAGTAAATTGCAACTTTGGTGGTAAACCACACCTAGAATAAAGCGGATATTTTAATATGATAAATACATCACACAACTAAATTGGCGCCTTACTCAGTACCTAAATTGCTAAAAACGGCTAACGGGATCATGCGATTTATATGCACAACCAGTGAATCACTTGTGGTTTATGCTGCAAGATCAGTTTACCGGATAATGTATTTGGTTTGCAGGTACGACTTGAGCTACCGCACTAAGGATTATCTGTATTANTGAGACAGTCATCTGAGGATAGATGTAGGAAACACGAACTGAGCATCAGTTTGATCGTGTCAAATTACCCCCGTGAAATGATGTTAGACAACAGTCCACAGGAATAAATTATTACTTAAAGAAGACAGTATGGATTCCACGCTCACAATTTACTAGATAGATCAGAAGGTTATTTAGATCACACTAACCACTACTTGTACAAAGATATAAAAAATGACGTTTCCTTAATTGCAAATCGTTATACAGACCAACCAAGCACCATGCGGGATGCCTTTAGTTGTATATTCCTATTGGAAGAGAGCTCATCCATTTAGGTAGTTAGCCGAGGTTGGCGATTTATCATAAAAATGCATTTTCCACGGCTTAACTCGATACAACCGTGCGTGACCGAAAGATTGCTGAGTCATAAGCCCCAAAAAACATTGTGTTCGTGGGTTGACTACAGCAGTCAGAGAAACAGTATCGCAGACCACATGCGTTCTGGTTTCGGTTCCCTAAAACCGAAAAAAATGCACCTTTTCCCATCAAGATTTAACCAAAACCCGCAATTCTTTAGCCTTGACCTACATCCCTTTAGCCAAACCCCGTAGTCCGTTAGCCTCAACGCACAAAATTTAGCTGCGTCGCAGTAGGTGACTCAGATCAAAAAGTATCGGAATATTCTGAAATCAACAAATGTTGAGAAAAATATTTCCTATAAATGTTGATTTTGCAAAGCTTGGTTAAGAAATAAGAAGGAATGGGGGTTGCATGCTGCAACACTTGAATTGGAGAAGGTTTACCGATATGCCCGTATCATCAAAGCATTTGACACATCTCGTACAGTTTCAGTGTTTCTGTATGACATGCGATGCTTCTAAGAGTAAGAATCTCAAATGAAACTCAAACAATATATTGTTTTGCATTCAAAAGCCCTGAAATAAACCCAAAGTTACGTGCTTGCCGTTTCGTGTATCCACTTAAAGTGAACTGTTTTTTTTTAATTATGGATACATCAAATGGTCAAGGATAATAAACACTGCTCACACATACCCCTTTAGAACACCGTTTCCCAAGAAGCTATAGACAAAAGCCAATACGAATGTTTTATAATCCTTAGCGCGTATGCAAAACAATGTATCGTTTGAGTTACACTTGGGATTTTTACTCCTAGGAGTATCGCATATCATACAGAAACACTGAAGCCGTATGAGATATGTCAAATGGTTTGACGATACAGACAGATCGGGTAAACCTTCTCAAATCAACGTTTTGCAGCATGCAACCCCCACTCCTTATTTCTAAACCAAGCTTTGCAAAATCAACATTTGTGGAAAATAATCTTTTTTCAACATCCGTTGATTTCAGAATATTCCGATGCTTCCTGATCTGACTCACCTACTGCGAGGCAGTTAAATTTTGTGCATTGAGGCTAAAGGATTACGGGTTTTGGCTAATGTTTAATGGGAAAGGTGAAGTTGTGCGGACGGTGCGGTAATACGGTCTACTTGGAGTCCTGTGCTCTGTGACTACATTCCTGGAAATATAGCACCAATTCCTGATGGGTCTGAGAAGCAACATCACTTTTTCAGAAAGTAGAAATCTAATGGTTCTCCGCTCGATAAGAAAACAGTATTTCATCGCATATCACCTTCATTACTCACTGATTTGTCGCACTTGTTCATATACCATCCAATCCTTTTCGGTGCTTGGCATTCGCTCATCTGGACGTAATGGGATAGTTCCATGAACCCAACAATAATTATTGACATAGTCTTTAAAATCTCCAGACGGCCCGACAGGAATGTAACAAGATATGGCATTCAACACATACTGCTTTGCACCGACAATGAAACACGCCAGAGAGAATAGCACAACGGTGAACAAATTCAGGCGGTCAGAAAAATCCTCCAATGTCTCACGCTGACTCCAACTGATTGCGGAAAAATAATTCAAAAATTCGCCGGCTACCATGTTTGGACCGCGGTAGCCACCCGATGGAGGAATATGTTTAGTTCAGTTTACACACGTTTACACAGTGCATAGCTGCGGATTTGGCCGCAGTCAGCCCGGAAACGGGAGAACAAAGAACCGATCTGGGGGAAGGCACACACACGTCCGCTGTCCATCGCGGGATGTGCACATCTAATCGGGTCACGTGAACCAAGCGATCTGTGTTCTCATTGGTCGGATGATGCAGGGCTGTCGGTCACTATCTAATAGTCGCACGTGGTTGGCTCAATGAGAATGCATGACCCTATAACCAAGGCCGAGATCGAACAAGGTAAATTTCTATCGATTCGGGGATGATTTACTCCAATTTTTGATGGACCGTGTTTGTCACGTTTACAATCAAAAGCTTTTGTTGGCTTGAGTTGACTTGTATCGCCACACGAGAGTATCTTTGAGTAGTTTACCAGTTTTAACACTACTTTTTCAACCTCCAGAGTGCCATAGCAGAACTATGCATTGACAAACCAAACTACAAATAAGCAACAGCAAATCGCACATTGCCGAGAAGAAACTTTTTAATCCTCCAGTCCCGGTCGAACGAGTCTTTCTGGGACATCACCCGTCATGGATGAACCAACGTTGTAAAAGAGGATTAGCCCGGATCACTGACCAAATTCGCCTAGGATTAGCAGTTCAATAAAACCAGATTGGAGCACTTTTGAAACGTTTTTTCCGAACAATTCTATATAATGAGCGAAATTCGCATCAATTGTTAAGAAGTGAGATACTATGAACTAAGATTTTTCACTACCCAATCTATTCCTGGTTCATCACGCTGCGATTGCGATCGACGGATGTGCATGTGTGAATAACTATGTATGGTCCTTGGGTGACTACTTGCCCACCAATCATTCACTGTTTGTAGTTCTATGAATATAATCAAAGC